GGAATTATACCAAACAACAAAATGATTAGAAAATTCCCAAATACTTAGAAACAATATAATACACATTTCAATAACCCAGTGATCAAAAATGTCATCACAGGGGCATGTGGGTGGCTCAGTCATTTAAGCGTTGGGACTCTTGGTTTCAGCTCAGGTCATGATCTCAGGGTCATGAGATCAACCCCTGCATCGGCCTCTATGCTGGGCATGGAGCCTGCTTAGGATTTTCTCTCTCACTCACCCTCTGCTCTCTCTCTCTAAGAGAAAAAAAATGAAATCACAGTGAGAATTAGAAAATATGTTTATTTGACAAACAAAATCTCTACTTTAACTTCATCTCTAACAAAACAAGAGGGATATAATTAAAGCAATAAAGGCTTAGAGAGAAAAATTTATAGCTTTAAGTGTTTATATATTGGAAAAGAAATGCTCAAATTCCATGATTTAAGCTCCCACCTTAAACTGGACAGAGAAGAGCAAATTTGCTCAAAGAAAATATAAGGGAGAAAATCATTAAAAAAAAAATCCATAAAATAGAAAACAAGTACACTACAGGGGGAAAAAAAAAATCAAAGCCAAAAGAGGGTTCTCTGTTTGGGAAAAGACTCCTAAATAAACAAACCCCTAACAGTACTAATAATCGCTCCTTTAGAAATGCAAATCAAAACCATATCACCTCACCCCTGCTAGAATGGCTACTATCAAAAAGGCAAGAGATAAGGAATGCTGGTGAGGATGTGGAGGAAGTGGAACTGTGGCTGGTGAATGATTGGTGGGAATATAAACTGGTGCAGCCACTACGGAAAACAGTATGCAGCTTCCTCAAAAAACTAAAAATTGAACTACCATGTGACCTAACCATTCCATTTCTGGGTATATATCCAAAGAAAATGAAATCACTATCTCAAAGAGACATCTGCACCCCATGTTCATTGCAGCATTATTCACAATAGGCAAGACAGGGAAACAACCTAAGTGTCTACTGATGGATGAATGAATAAAGAAATGTGGCGAAAATACACAATGGAGTATTATTAAGCCATAAAAAAGGGAAATCCTGCTGCTTGTGACAAAATGCATAGACTTTGAGGGCACTATACTATGTGAACAAGTCAGAGAAAGACAAATACGTATGATTTCACATATATATGGAATCTAAAAACATCAAGCTCATAGAATAGAATGGTGGCTACCAGGGGCTAAGTGGTGGGGAAAATAGAAAGATGCTAGTCGAAGGGTATAAACTTCCAGTTACAAGATGAGGAAGTTCTGGGGATCTAACGTATAGCATGATGACTACAATTAACAATACTATACTTGTATCCTAGAAAGGTGCTGCAAGAGTAGAGCTTTAATGTTTGCACCATAAGAACAACAATTATGTGAGGTAAAGGATGTGTTAACTAACTTCATTGTAATAAACATTTCACCACATATGCTTATCAAATCACCATAACCTTACACAATGTTATATGTCAATTGTATCTCAATAAAGTGGGGAGAGGGAAGGAAAAAAAAATCATCCTGTTGGAAGGTTTGAGCCTGGCAGTCAGAATATGTGGGAGCCAGGATAGCGGACAGCTGGGATCCTAATGCCCAAAAGGGGTAGAAAAGTTCGGAAGGAACTCATTCCAGTTAAGCCAGAACTGTAAAGAACTTCAACTTCAGTTCTTTGTACAATGCTTGACACATAAATAAGTACTGGATATGCAGATGTCCTCATGTAATACATGGTTCATACAGGTCCATAATTTCTTGGAGCAGGAACTATTCTATAGAGCTTTTTCCTGCATTCTCTTGATAAACTGTGACCTTCATGAAAATGCAACTAGAAAAAAAAAATCACTGCTTGCAGATCAAGGGAAGCAACACAGAAGCTTGCCATCCATCCAGGGCTTCAGCACGAGGGAAGGGAAAGGAGAACAGCAAGGAAAATACTAGAAGATACTAAAAACACCAACCTTGCACCAGACTCCGTTGTGGCTTGCAAAGCTGTACTACCCACAAGGTGGTGGAACCCCAAGCCATGAAATTAATGTGAAGCCTGGTCCAAAACCACTGAAATGCCAGTGGCTCCAGAAGAAGTAAACTAGAAACTGCTCAATTGCACTAGAGTGTGTATGTGTGTGTGTGGGTGTGCGCACGCACGCACATGAATGTGCACACATGCACATGTAGGAGTGACTGAAAATAAGCACACAATTAAAAATTACACCCATGAACAATCTAGCAATTTCAATCACCAATTTATTCCACACTTACTAAATAATAATGGAAATAATAGAACAATCTACAAGAGACTATGAAACAAATTACTGTAAAATTATAAAGAAGATAAAAGGATATGGGAACATATTTTAAAAATAGGGCAAGTATATAAAAAAAGGACTGGTAGAATTTGAATTAAAAAAAAATAAACCAAACACAAATTCTCAGCTGAAAAATATAGTCACTAAAAATAAACAAGTTAAAGAGTAGATTAAATACAGATTAAACAGCAAATTAAATCCAGATGAGAAGATGTTAACGAATTGGAAGAGGTTTAATAAAAAGCACTCTGAATGCAACACAGAGACATAAAGAGAAACAAGAAAAGGCTAATGGCCAAGGGGCATTCCTACAAGCCTACTGCAGCAGCATTCCTCAGAAAAGGCACGTGAGGTCAGCACTTGTGGCAGGTGTGCGGGTTCCCTGCTGCCCATGACACCCTAGGCCAGCACAGACAATCTGGCAGGAAGGATGTCAGACATTCAGAACGGGATCCCAATGTTTGGTTCGTGGTGCTTTTTAAGCTGCATGATTGGGAAGAACTGGCCCCCTGCCTGTGTGATCAGAGGCACAGAGACAATCACAACGTGATGCACACAATCTTCCACATAATGTCAGAATGCTGTCTGTATCCCTAACTTGCTAATTTGATACTCATGGTTGGAGTAACTTCCCTGTCTGGCATGATCGAGGAGCTAAGTTCCAACTTGCTGGTGTGGCTGTGAGATGAGGCAATAAGGTAGCAGAATCTGCCCTATCAGTGTGTATGGCCTAGAAATCAAGAGACTCATCTCTGACATAACCAGGCACCTCAGGTCCAAAACCTGCGATTGACCAGAACTGTCTGCTCTACTGGGCCACTGCCAGTTTTGGCAGAGCTCTGCAGACAGCCTGCAGGAGCTCCACCTTGGACAAGTTAAGATCACCCTAGCAACACATAAGAAACTATTACATGAGACTACCCAGAAAACTTAGTATAAGAGTTCCAGAAGAAGAGAACAGGATAAAGGGCAGTACTTGAAGAGAAATTGGTTGAGATTTTCCAAAACTGATAAAAAAGACTTGCATCTTTCAAATAAAGATATGCATTGCATCCCAAGCCAGATAAATTAAAACAAGTCTACGGCTTCAGGCTTCATAGTGAAATTGTAAAACATCAAAGCCAAAAACAAAATTTTAAGAGCAGCTAGAAAGAAAAAAGTTGATAACCAAGATAACCAAGAAAGAAATCACAATGAGGCAGGCGAGAGACTTCTGTGGTTACTAGTCTCCACAGATGCGCGCCCCCCCCCCCCCGCCCATAAATCTTCGCTTCCCTGTGGGCACATGCTGCTTCTCACATCAAAAGCTGCAGCTTCCCTTGGCCTGGGTCCTTTGAGTGCTCTGACCAACAGAATGTAGTATAAGTGCCAAGTGAGACTTCTGAGCCCAACCCTTCAAAGAACTGGCAAATTCTCTTCTTTCTTCTAGCAACTCTTGCTCTGGGACACCATCCCTCAAACTCAGCCACCATGCTAGGAGAAGCCCAAGCCACAGAGAGCAGCCATGTGAATGAGAAGTGACAGGCAACAATCACCAGCCCCAGGTGAGCTCCCAACCACAGCCAGTATCAAGGGACAGCCGTGTGAGCATGTCATCTTTGATGTTCCAGCTGAACTGGGGTCCCAGATAATTGCAGCCCCAGCCACCATCAAAAACAGAAATGACCCAAATGATACCAGGCAACCTACACAATCACAAGAGAGAAAAAAATGGCTTGTGTTTTGAGCTACTAAGTTTTAAGGTGATTTTAAACATCAGTCAATAACTACAGAGTTTCTCAGTTGCCATAACAGATCCCAGAAGACAATGGAAAATATCTTCCAAACGCCAAGGAAAAATAATGCTCAACCTAGACTTCTATAACCAACTTTCTAGAGTTAAGACAAAACTACATTTTTTAGAAAGACAAATGATGAAAGTTCACCACTTATAATCTCTCATAAAAAGAAATACTACAAAACACGTGGATAAGCAGTGAAATTTATAAATACGTTGTAAATCCAGGACTTGGTAAAAATAAGATATAACTACAATATTAAGTAGTATCTGATCTGGTTAACTATTGTAATTTGTCTGTTTTGGTGTTTTGAACCTACTTAATCTAACACTAGCACAGAAAAAATGTCCTCAACAGCCAGCATAGGTGAAGGCATCTCAGACACCTCATAGTCACTATTTATCAATTCTTCCCCTCTCCTTTCCCACCACCCTTCACACATAGTTCTCCCATTCCCCCCACACCTGAGAAGGTCTCAGCCTCAGCCATCAAGGGACAGAGAAGAGATACTTATAAAAAGAAAACAAAAGAGGGCAGCTGGGCAAGAGACCTCTCTCCTGGCATTCACCCACCTGCAGCATTTGCTGCCTACTTCATTTTTATCTGCTTTGTCATTATCAAAAATCATGTCACGGACATACGTATGTGAATGACAATTTTTAACATTAAGGACCAAGTTATGACCTAATGGCATCTTACAGAAGACTTGAAGCAAGAAACTCCCATAACCATATGAACTATTTTTTTCTCCCCCCCCATTCTTAACATGCAAATCTTCAATCACCTAAGGTTTTCAGTAAAGACACTAATTTAGAGTAGAAGGCAAGTTCAGAGCTTCAACTGTCAATGAACACAGAACTCAGTTATATTAGAAAATAATTAACCATTTTAAAGAATATTAAGCACTACTTACTTTAACGGCAAATTTCTTTGACGCCATGGCTTACTGATTCCAGAGTAATTACAGACCTTTAAATAGAAGAAAAAAAGTTACAAGTAGGTATATCAAAATCTCTATTTGGATAATATATAGGAGAAAGGTTGACTGAATAATCAAATAACAGTATTTGCAAGATAAATGTTTACTTAAAACTGGTCTTAAAAATATATTATATTGGGGCGCCTGGGTGGTTCAGTCGTTAAGCGTCTGCCTTCAGCTCAGGTCATGATCCCGGAATCCTGGGATGGAGCCCCACATTGGGCTCCCAGCTCAGCGGGAAGCCTGCTTCTCCGTCTCCTTCCTGCTCGTGCTCTCTCTCACTATCTCTGTCTGTCTCTCTCTCAAATAAATAAAATCTTAAAATATATATATATATAATATTGGGGGCCTTGGGGGGGCTCAGTCAGCAAAGCATCTGACTCTTGATCTCAGGATCATGGGTTCAAGCCCCATGTTGGGCTGCTCGGTGGGAGTGGAGCCTACTTTTTTATATATATGTTATTGAAATATATATATAATATTGAATTAGCCACTTAAAAACCACCAACAAAGGAAAGCACAGGCTCAGATGCACTCTATCAGACGTCTAAAGAGTTAATACCATTGGGGCGCCTGGGTGGCTCAGATGGTTAAGTGTCCGACTCTTGGCTCTGGCTCAGGTCATGATCTCAGGGTTGTGAGGTTGAGCCCTACGCTGGGCTCCATGCTGGGCATGGAGCCTGCTTAAGATTCTCATTCTCCCTCTGCCTCTGCCCTCCAAAAATCATGAGACAATACATGTATAGTACATTTTTTTAAAGACTTTATTTATTTGATAGTGAGAGAGAGATAGCACAAGCAGGGGGGGAGCGGCACCTAGGCACCCCAGGACCGTATTGTATTTATTGAAAAAAAAAAAAATCCATGTATAAGTAGACCCACACAGTTCAAACCTGTATCGTTCAAGAGTCTACTCCCCTTTACTATGCTTAGCCAGGCCAACTGCCCTCTCTCACCCTTGCAGAAACGTAGAGAATTATTTTTTGGAGAGAGTAAGACAGAGGATCTCTGGTCTGGAAAACACCAGGCACAGCATAAAGTAGGGGGTACCCTACTGAAAAAAGAGAAAATTAAAGGAACATTTACAAACTGATTGGCATCTTCCCCAACCCGCATGTCCCTTATGATGGTTAATTTTATGTCAACTTATCTAAGAGATGCCCAGACAACTAATAAGATATTATTTCTGGGCATATCTGTGAGGGTATTTCTGGAAGAAATCATGATTTGAATTGGTGCACTCAGTAAGGCCAATGGCCCTCCCCAGTGTAGGTGGTTATCATTCAATCTGCTGAGGGCCCAAACAGAATAAAAGGTGCAGGAAGGGTGAATTTGCAATCTCTGAGTTAGGACACCCATATTCTCCTGCCCCCAGACTTCAGCACTCCTGGTTCGCAGGTTTTGGACTGAGAATGAATTATACACAGGCTTTCCTTGTTCTCCAGCTGGCAGACAGCAGATCATGGAACTTCTGTCTCTGTAATTGCATGAGCCTATTCCTACAATAATTATATATACCTTCTTTTGGTTCTGGGTCTCTGGAGAACCTTGTCTAATACACCCCTCTACACTGCCTAGCCTCTCCAAATAGGAGACTGAAACCATTCAGGGACTGGACTAACCTAAAAGGTAGGATCTAGAAGTACTGACATCAGGGATTCCCCAAGGAAACAGCCTAGATGGATGGTTCTAAAGTGAAGCAAACACCCACAAGCCCCGTATCTGCATGGAGAACTGCCTTCCATCTTTTTAATACCCCACTCTCGAATACAAGTAAACAACCAGGAATCACCTGCTATCTAAGGAAAGACTCTGTCATGAAAGAAAACAAAACAAACAGGAAAGAAACTACTTGGCCAAAACTGAGACTATGCAGGGAGAAGGAAACCATTTTTTAAGAAACTATCATTATTATCAGGGAGATAGGAGATATTGCAACCATAAAGCAATAAATACAATAACAAAAAATAAGAAACTTTCAGAAAACAAATTAAAGTGATAGCTGAAATAAAAAAAAAAAAGTACCAGAAGTGCTGGAGGACCAAGTTCAGGAAGTCATTCAAAAACTTCAGCAAAAATAAAAAAGATGAAAAATAAGAGAGAATAAATTAAAAATTAAAGGACCAGTACAGGAGGACCCATACATGAAAGTTAGATGGAAACATCTCATATTAGGGCATATATCACTGTAAAACATCAGGCATTGGAGATTAAAAAAAAAAATCTTTAAAAAGAGGGTGGGAGGTGGGTGGAAGGAGTGGTCAGTGAATATTTGGCTCCAAATGGCTCAAAGCAACTCTGGAGACTAAAAGACAATAGAGAAATATCTTCAAAATTCTAAAGAAAATTGTTTCCAACCTCCAATTGCATTTAAACATGAGGGGGAGGGGACATTTTTAGACATGCAAGGTCTTAAAAAATTTAAGTCCCATGCATCCTTTCTCAGGAAGCTTAACTGAAGATGTGCTTCACCAAAATGAGGAAATTAACCAAGAAAGAGGAAGATACAGGAAAGAGGAAGGCGAAGACAGGCAAAAGGCAGAGGAAATCCTAGGATCTGGTCAAAGCAGATCCCTGAATGAGATCATGGGCTAGACCAGGAGAGAACCATGAGTGGGGGCTATAGCAGTTTCAACGTCTCCAGGAGATGCATCCTCAAAAGCGTCTGTGAGCATGCAAAACTCACTTTAGACAACTGGTGGAGAATCTGAGATTGAATTAGGACAGGAACATGGAAAGCTAGGCAATTACTGATCCTACGATAAATAAAAATTGTGCCGAAAATAAAGAGAGTACTTCATACACAGCTCAGTTACGGCTAGCATGTGTAGTTATGATAACAAACACTGAATCTTGACCTAAACAATGTTACGTTTACAGCAAAATTACAAGGATGGGAATATGTGTGTATGTGCATATTATACGGCAGGGGCACAGAGGTTAAACTGAGCGAGAGCTCCCTTGAATGCTGAGGGGATGTTTCAGAAGCAAAGCCTAAAATCAGTATAAAACAGTTACAACCGCCACCGCAACAGTAATAGTTAAGCAGAAATACAGCAAGTAATTTAGTGATATGGAACCAATTGTTAAATGCTAAACTTGGCTCCAACATGAAGAGCAAGGTGAAGAGAGCTGCTCTGGAGGAAGGAATGAGGTGAAAAGGAGGCCATAACTCACAAGTCTTGTACATGGAACTATTTGCTCGTTCCAACGTGTGCACAGATGTTACAGCAGCACGGTACAACAGAAACAGAATGCAAGCCAGAGATGTACTTTTCAATTTCCTAACAGTTGCAGTTAATAAAAATGTAAACCGAAACAGAGGAAATTCATTTTAATAATATTTTTATTTAACCTAATAAATCCAACATATTATCATTTCAGCATGTAATCACTAAAAAGTATTTACATTCTTAGTGTTTTACCTTAGTCTTTGAAGTCAGGTGTATCAGGTGTGTATTTTCTGTTTCCAGCACATCTTAATTTGGACTGGCCACATGTCAAGTGTTAGACACCTGTGGTCAGTGGCTACCATAATGGACAGTGCGGTTTGAGCATACTTGGTTTCATTACAAGAAAAACACTTATTTCTGTGTCCCAGATTACTAATTTAAACAATAGGGATAGTAATACCTAACTCAAAATTATCAAAAGGATTAAATAAAATGATATATGAAAACCCCTGATGCAACCTTTATAAAACAGTAGGCCCTTGAGGAGTGTTAACAACTACTTAGTCAACGGTGATGATTTAAAATCGGATGATTTTTTTTCAAAATGTGATAAACTTTGATTCTATTTTTTTTAAAGATTTTATTTGAGAAAGAGACAGAGAGCATGAGCGGGGGGAGGGGCACAGAGAGAGGGAGAAGCAGACTCCCTGCTGAGTGCGGAGCCCTACAAGGGGCTTGGTCTCACAATGCTGGGATCCTGACCCAAGCCAAAGTCAGACACTTAACCAACTGAGCCACCCAGGCACCAGATTCTATTTTTTTTTTAATGGACAAAAACATCTTTATCCAAACCCCAAATCACTTTAATTATTCATTTCTATTCTCTGAATGATGTAGTGCATATGATTTAGAAAAATTATGAAGGTCATTCATCTAGTAACTCCATTTAGAAATAGGTGTAAATGGAAAAAATAAGTTCCTAGAGAATCAGGAACATGTGTTTGAAAACAACATTTATAAAGGTTGCCCTGAAAACTTTAGGTAGATCTTTATGTTATTTGAGCCTGATAAACACAAAATTGGTCCCCTTAAATATACTAAATTAGTTTTGAATAACTTCTGCCAAGAATTTAGGGAATCCCTCACTGGAGGGTGCTTAAGTGCTTCAGCTGATAGAGAAAAGGAGAGAGTTTTGTCAGCAAGTACCCAACCAAGCTGAAGCATGTGATCAAATTATTTTTTAATTGTACACTGGTTTTCCCATATGTCCTTCCTTTCCCGAAGGACAGGTGGACCACACTGGAGGCTGCAGCAAGGCTTTCAGACCATATCTGCATTAGATTATGGGCCATATTACAGTGAAGGTTACATTTTTCAACTCACAATAAGGTTTCAATATTCTTTCTTCAAGTACTCACTTTTTTTTCTTTTTACTTCTATCAGTAAAGCAAGAGTAGCAGCATTTTTTAAGGACTGGATTCTTCAAAAAGTATCATCAAAGCCCAATCTCAAAAATATGATCTGTAGGAATCTAGGACCAAATACTATGTATTTTTACATAATATGGTCCCCTAATGTAAAAATAGGCCACATGGGAAAAGGAACTATATTATACATTCTGCACATGTATTTTTTCTTAATTCACTTCGCCTATTTGATATTTTTACATTTTGCTTATTTTTAATCCATTTTTTAATATCATGTGGCATTCTGCCTCTCATTGTATATCATTTTTTCATTTGTTTCCACAATGTTTGGAGGCTCAAAAAATCACATTTAGGGCTAAGAGAGAACTCACAAACTATCTACTCCCAACC